TTTATGAGCTTAATTTTAAAAATATATATATATATATATATATATATATACATTATAAATCTGTTATATAATATATATTATAAAAATACATATATATATAGTAGGTGCTATATCAAAAGATCAGAGCTCCTTTTTTATTTTACTATTTTTTAAGACAAATTTAGTATGATCTACAGTGAAATAAAAATTAATTCATTTTGATTAAATGCGTGTTATGTGAATTTTTATAAATTAATTAATGTTTTGTATTATTTTAACTTCTAACATTGAGGTATTTGTTTCTAAGAAAAAGCTAGGTTGGTAGGTACTTTATTCACGTCACACTAGAGCTGCACAATGAGCTCTTGGCGGCGGTCTAGGAAACATCCCTGAGGATGATCCGAAGACGCAAATTAGATCCTTTGCAAAGGGAATGGCACCCCTGTTTTGGTAGCCCGACGACCTGCATACGAAGTCAAGCACTTTACGTCTTAGTTTCGATTTTCTAAAAGCTAAAATGAGTAAAATTTTCCGAAATAAAAAGAAAAATTTAGATAATTTACATTTCGTTATTAACTTTCAAAACCCTATTTTCGATAAGATCAAATTTCATAATATTTTTAAAAATTTTAAAAATTTGTTTCCTTTAAAAGATTTTAAGTAATTAAAAGCTTTAAACATAATAACTCTCTTGGTAGAACTATATTTAATTATGATAATATAAGCAAAAATTTAGGGAGGATTAATATATTCGACTCTGAATATCACTGTGGAAAAGAGAAATATTTTGATTTTGTTGATAAACATCATAAACATATTATTACAGGTAATTTAATTATTATAGAAAACTTAGAGCTAAGGAATTTAATGATAAAAGACACAAAATTTAGACCTATATACCATATATCAGTCAATAAAATTTTAAAATACTTTCGTAATGATTTCAATAGTTTTTGTTCAAAAATATCATATAGATTCTCTTTACCTTTTGGTATGTTAACAGAATGGAAATGGGCAGTTTATTATTACTTTAAAAACTTTGTTTCAAATAGTAAGGAAAATTTAAATAACAGTAACAATTCCATTTTACTGAATTTTTCTAAAATTGTTCAATCAATTAAACAGCTACAAAAAAAAATTTTAATTACCCCATAGACAAAGCTTACAATATTTATGCGATCTTCCGAGAAAAAAATTCTATGTTGAACTTTAAATAGGGAGTTAAAAATAGTAAAAATTTTAAGCTTAGTAATTTAAATAATAATATTTTCATTAAAAAACTTTTAGTTTGGTAGGTAAAATTAAACAGTTGAAAAAGATTTGTTTTGAATTAGATTGCTCTCAACTGAAGTGGAAGCAATATCACTAACCAATTGGGTACCTGCAACTCTAGAAAAAGAAGACTGCTAATATCTGTTGGTTGTATATAAACAATACGGAAAGGGCAAATGGAAGAAATAGTTGCTAACATAAATAAAGGCTATGATTCAGCAGCCAATCAGGTTTGGCACCCAAACGTGACATCGCTTGTAGGTATCCAATTGTTTCGTAGAGGAAGCGTCAAGCAGACGATCTCCTAGCAATTCAGGCACAACACGTGGTCTTACCGGTGCCCCATTTCGAAATTTTTTTTATGATTTAATATTTTCTTTTTAAAAATATACAGTTATTTAAAAAAAAATTCATACCATTTACGTATCTCAAAATTAACGATTTTGTGGTCCCTATATGCTCTGAATAATGCATGCTATAGTATTTGCGAAATTGATGGCAATTTGAAGCTATCAGTTGCGGTTCAGCAATATTGGCAACATTTTTTTAAAATTACTTTTGATGTCTAATGTCTCCATAACTAAGATTACGCTAAATTGAGAAGTTCACACGACATTTCCTAAATTATATGATTTTCCTATGAAAACGTTTGTAAACAAAAAGAAATTGCATGTAGGAAATTGCATGTGGGAAATTCCATGTTAAGAAATGACATGCACCATGCATTCCATTAAGCTATTTTTTTACAAAATAATCACAGCAGATGAGCTCGGCAAATCCCACAAACTCTGTTTTTCTATGCTATTTAGTCACGTGGCCAATAATATTTTTATGGAGAAAAAAAATATATTACATTTATATATATTCTACGAATATTCTAGCTATACGAATATTCTAACAAATCAGATTTTCCTTAACCCATTTCAAGAATGCTATTTTATACAAATGCTGCCCCACACCCCTTTATTTATATGGTTTGAATTGATACCTTCTTTCGCAAAAACTCATATGCCCGATGACAATAACGACTATTTATAGCTACAAGGTAGAAATATATCTAAAAAAAACTGCCTAAAATATTTGAAAAATTAAAATAAAATGCATTGTTTGATAATACGCGTGTGATCCAGACTCTTCGTCATTAATCCTTATAAAATTATATATGATTTTTAATTATGCTTAACAAAGATGCTTTAAAATCGTAAAAAAATACATAATAACTAATAAAGATACTAAAAAATAACATTGTTGAGGTGATGCAAGCTTAAGAAAAAAAAATTCCAAAATAACGAAAAAACTATAAATTACTCGAAAAAGAATCTATAACGTTCAAATTCTAGGAACTAAAGTACTAATTTATCAAATTAAAGTTTTCTTAAACAGATCTGTCAGTCTGAGGACCGACAGAATTGGGGTTCGATTCCCAGCGTTGATACTAGAATATTTCCTCCATTCCCTTCAGCATATGTAGAGTTTCCAGTGTTCTGCATTCCCTACTTTGTGTCCTGCACTCTCCAATGCCCATTACCTAAAGAAACGCCGTGCTTCAATGTCCTGTTAAATTTCTTTTTTTACGGTCTTATTACCATACTAGTTATAAACGGTTTCAAAACCGTAAAGATAAGAAATGCTCTTTACCGTAAACTTTACGCTTAATTGGATGGATATAGTGCTTTCGGTTATTCTATGATAATTTTAGAAAGAAAATTTTAACAGCGTTGTTATATGAGACTTACCGAGTATTTAAGCGTTTTGAACTCTAATTACTTCAAATTATATAGTATACTTTTAAATTATGCTAATTACGTGTTAAGTCTCAATAGTAGAAATTACAGTACCGATTTCATTTTCTAAAATTAAATAATCAGTTTAAATAATATCAATTATATGAACCAAATTATGCAAATTAGATAAATTAACAATATTAAAATTGCGTGAGCTTTGTTTTATTTAGTAAAAGAAAGAAATTTTATTTTAAAACAGTTTGGTAACAAAACTTTTAATAAAAGTTCTTTAATAAAAAATATTTTAAAGTACTAAAAGCTGAAATATTAGAAGTTTAATAAAAAAAAATTATTTTAAAATTTTTACTTTTATGAGCTTAATTTTAAAATTATAATGATTTATATATTTTCTCATCTAACTTATTTTATCAAAGCAAAGAACTAATAATGATTTATTAATAATTCCTTAACTTTAAAAAAAAATAACAATCTGTATTGGAAAACATGTTGATAGTTCCACGGCGCAAAATTGTCTTGTCTTTCCGATAAATATTTTCCTTTCGTAACAGCATTTAATAAAACTCTTGAATTGTTACTTAAGGGGGTCTTGGAAGTCATCTTAAAAATAAGTCAAGGTTTATTTCATTGTTTAATAATAAAAAGTGTTATTGAATGGGAAAAATTAATTATAACTTTTTAATAAGATTTCAACATTAATATAAGGTAACAATATTTGTATTCAGAAACATGTTGATAATTTCAGAGTATAAAATTATTTTTTCTTCCAGACAAATATATACTTTCTATAGCAACATTTTATAAACTCTTTAATTATCATTTAAGGGGTCTGGGACACAATTACGGAAATTTTAATATTTCTTTTATTGTCGAGTAGAAAAAGGTATTATTATTTTTATTTTGAAATTGTGAAAATTATGCTTTTTTTAATGAAAACGTGAGCAAAAAGTTAGTTTTGTTTTTCCTTCGTATTTATTTTTAAATAATACTGAAACTCAGAATCTCTATCACTTTTAAAACAATCTAAAAAATACTAAAACTATAGCTACATAAAGTTTGGAATGTATTTACTTTATTTTTTTCTAACATAGTGATAAATAATTTTTTTACAAAATAATAAAAAAGCAAAAATATTGAAAATAAAAATTTGAACTGTTTTGAATTTTTTAAAGCAAATAGAAAATAATGCTGAATGCATATTTAACTGTATATCTTTTTATTCAAAAAAAAAATAGTTTGCCGAATATTTTCCGATAAATTAAAAAATTCCTTTTTTCAAAGTTTTTGAATTTTATAAAAGTCTAGTAATAGATTCGTGAATAAAATTTATACATTTATTGCGCCAATAAAATATATGCATTTTTAAAAAGAAATCCAAAAAAAAGTACCCCGGACCTCCTTGTGTAACAAATAGACATGAGCATGCTTTTAATTTAATCAAAATAATTTGCTTACTCTCCACCAATGAAAATGTTTTCAAAATATCAGTTCTTTTATGTGGAAGCTTTGTTAAATACGCCAACACCAGTTGAATCTGCAGAAGAAACCCCACTTAAAGATACCGCCTTCCAGAACTCAGATCGAAGAACATTAAAGAACAGATCTAGTGATCGTCTGGCGGAGCAAAATTCGTCTGCTACGAACCGTTCTTTCGTGCGCGACAGGCGGTTGGCGCACGCTTGCGCACCACAGTTCCAGAAACGTCATTTCCGGAGTCCGAAATGACCCGGGTATAGTATCCCGGGATGGATCCCAGGAATCCGGCAAGTTCCACTAGTACAAAGTCCTGGAAATAATACCTTCGATGAAAAGAAATATAAAAAGACAAGTTCGATGATTTTCCTGGGGACAAGATTTAAGAACAAAAATAGTTTTATTTTTCCAAAAGCTCACTATGTGCGCAGAACTTTATGTCCCTCCTTGTGCGCATACCAATTGCGTAATATTTTTTTCTTCTTCCGAAAAGTGATGTAAGTATTTAAAAAAACACAGACAATGTAACTTTGAGAACTGCAGTTACATAAAATGATAAGGATTACTAATTTTTCATACGAATTATTCAAATTTTTTAGTTTGAAAAAGTTCAACATAGCATTCTATATTTTGCATGAAATACTTTCTTTTTTTTTGTCATACATAATTCTTAATTTTGCATCCAATATTATTATTTTTAAATTCTTATCAAAAGTTTTTAATGTATTTCTAGTTCCAAACAGTGACGGAAAACAAACTTATGTAATTGCTTGTTGAGTAAGTTTGAATATTTACCTTTAAAAAGAAAATGAGAAATCTTTTTGTCAATTCAGCTTTGCTCATTTTTTGAGAGTAAATCTTGCATTAGCACAAAATAGAAAACAACCTCAAATCGTAAAATAAAACTGTCAAGTATCATCTTTACAGTAAATGGGGAAAAGTTGCATGACCTGGTACGTCGGGTTTTGGCAAAAGAAGGGAATGAGAATAAAATAAAGGGGGGGGGACATACATCGATTAAAACATGCAAGGAATTATTTTAAAAGATATTGCTATCTGATTAAATTCATTGTAAAAAGCTACATACAAAACAATACCTTATATGTCTGAATAGCGATATAAAAGTTTCTCCTTCGTTTACCACTTTTTTCCTCCCCAGCAAAACCTCGAATTGTGAGGTCGTGCAACTTATTATCACTTACTATGAAGAGGGTACTTAACACTACACCGCATATTTAAACTTATTTTATATCAATTTGAAACACTAGTTCCACTGTACTATATAGCGTCTGAAAAATATATTCTTAAATTTGAGTTGTTTCACGCGGACACCATTTTACCCTTTATTCTAGCTAACCCAAGGACCAACGTAATCATTGATTTCTTTTCTTTTATTTTTCAAAAAGAAAAAAACTCTTAACTCAATCATTTTATTCTTGAAATATATTTTTAGAGAAATAAAAAATTTGTCTTCATTAAAACATATTAATAGCATAAATGTCTTCTTAAGATTGATCTAAAATGTGATGTTTTAAAACTGAGATGACAGCCAATAATTATAAATACCAAATTAATATAAGTATAAATGCCCTACCACAAGTTCTATAAAAGTAGTGTAATTTATCTTTAAAAACAAGGTATTTGAGTTCAACATAAAGTATTATTAATATAAATATTGATATTTTTATTTCAAACTAAGCAACTGTGATATTTTTAAGCTAAATTGGTAATCAATGTTGGAAAACCTCCAAAATAGTCAAAGTAAAATATTCAACCACAATTCGTTTTTCATATAAATACATTTTACGTCTATAACGAAAAGTAGAGTTTTCGTAACAGTAGTTCGGAATGAATGTGTTGGGCTGATAAGTTCTGTTACAAACAATAAAATATGGTTTTATAATGCGTTATAAAATTTGATAAATGCGTAAAAGTTTGGTAATTTAATTAAGGTACCTTAGATCATGTCATAAAAAACATTTACTCAGTTAAATTTTTTTTCTGCTTTGATTTTTTATTAAATGTGTGATAATAAGAACTATAATTCTAAAAACCAGAATTTCCGGTCAACCGTTACCGTATGGATGGTGTTTTCTACACTAGGGAACGCTGCAAGCTCGGAACCGCCTAATTTTCCGGGTTACTGTTTCCGTTGTATTTTAAAGCCATTTGGCATCATTGTGTTTTGAGATTCTTGCAAACAATGTATTTGATTACTTATTACTTGTGTTTACAATGCTAACAATACTGGTGTTTACAATGCTAAAAGTGTTAACACTAACGTAAGATGGTGCACAGCTTGCAACAAGAACAAACAGTAATAAACTTATAGAAAGAGGCCATATCAAGACTGCCAAAAAAGCGAGTTATTCAAAATCTAGCAACCATGTCACCTGTTTTAACAATATATCTCTAAAAAACTAAAACAAATTTTCACTTCAAACTCACCAGAATTACATATTAACATTAATATCTTATGAAATATGGCAGATTTGAGCTCAGAAATCATCTAATTTATTTCTTTTATTGAAAACAAAATTCTCCGTTTGAAAACATCGCCTATCAGAATAACATGTAGTAAGCAGCTGTAGGTGCCGAGCTCGAGATTGTTATTGTTTACATTTCTATTGAAAACACCATCCATAAGCAGAAAAATTACCAAATGAATGGTTTAAATACCCAGAGTTGGCCGTTGATTACAGTAATTGATTAAAACTGTAATTGATTACAGATAAATTACAGCTATGTAATCAATTACTTGTAATCACGATTACAAGTAATCAATCACTTGTAATCGTGATTACAACTTTCAAAAAATTTTGATTACAGCTGTAATCATGATTACAATTTTGATTACAGTAATCAATTACTTGTAATCATGATTACAAGTAATTGCGATTACAAGTAATCACAACAAAAACGATTACAAGTAATTATGATTACAAGTAATCAAAATATATGATTACATGTAATCATGATTACATGTAATTTGATTACATGTAATTGTGATTACTTGTAATCAAACTATACGATTACAAGTTATTACGATTGTATACTATAGTCAAATTTTTTATGTAAGTATTCATGTGTTTACATATTTTTATGTACATAGAATGTACGCACGCATGAACGTACAATTTGCGATTCCTATACATACAATGTATGCACAAACGTTGTTTGTACGTACAATATTCATAATTATATTGTAATATACTTAATGCAATGCGCATATGCTTAGTACATATAATTATGCATTTATGATACATGTACGCATGTATGTTAGTTTGTACAAAAAGGCAATGTTTTGTATCTTTGTATACATAGACAATGTATGTATGAACGTATATGAAAATAATGTTTATGCGTTTGCATGCTTTTATGTACTTAAGTGCATATATTGTATAAATTTACGATAATAGCACGTATATACAATGTACGTTTGTATATAAAATTGTACGTATTTGCGTACAATATGTAAAAATGTTATTTAAAGGTACAATATATGCACATAGTTGCGTAAATAAAATGCGTACATGTATACATGCATATTTATATGTACATCGATATATGTGCACGCAAAGTATGTACTTATGTACAACTTACGTATGTACTTGTATAACTACATACTTTGTTAATACTTATGCGCATGTAATGCATGGATGTACAAAAAAATAGTTATATGCACAATGTATGCATGTGCATACAACGTATACATGTACATAATTACAAGTAATGTACAAATACGTGCGTACATTTAAATATATGTAATTACAATATACACATACATTGTGCATACATTAAAAAAATTTATATGAGTAAAGTTATTAAAATTTGTTTTAAAATTATTCTAAGGTATATGAAACTCGACCTCATATTTTTTAGAAAGCAAACGATAATTTTATTTGGAATTTCTAAATATTAATTCCACACATAAAATTTACCGTTTTTCTTACCATTTAAAAAATTTCTATGAATCATGCATTATGTTATAAAAAAAATAAATCTGTATTGTCAAACATTTCATGAAAATACCTGAAAATAATTTTTTATTCAGAGAATTTCAAAATGATATAGAACAATTAAAGCTGAAAACTAAATTTAAATATCGTTTGATTTTGTCATTTAACTTGCTTGAGTCATTAAAAGTTAACTTACATGCATTTTATTTATTGCATTGTACACATATTTAGACATAAATGTAATGTACATATGTATACGTGTAATGTATGTACGCATGTACAATGTATGTACATACATTCATGTATTGTACGTGCATATATAGTACATATGGATATGCATACATGGAACATACGTGTATTGTACATGTGTGGATACATTCATTGTACATATATACATTGCACCATATGCATAGATAGGGATAGCATGCATGTACACATGTAAAATTTGTACGAAAGAATTATGCCCAATATATTTATGCACATACGTACTGTATATGTACACACATATGTACATTATATGAACATTATATGTTCATTTCATCATATGTACATTATATGAATATACATCTGTACGCTATATGTATATACATCTGTACGCTATATGTATATACATCTGTACAATATATGCATCTCAAATGTGTGTACGTACGTTATGCATGTCGAATGCATGTATGAATATATGTGAAATATAAATACGCCCAATGTACGTACAATAGTTCACAAATGTATTATGCATATTTGGATACTTACATTGAGCATGAACATATTATGTACATGTACATAAATACACTGGACATGCATATCATGTACATGTATACATACATATATTGTACATCCTACAGATATACCTATATTGTACATGCATACATATATTGTACTGTTCATAAATAAATTGCACATACATGCATGGGACATACATTGTACAGACAATGTATGTATGTTCGTACAAACACAAGTACTTGTATATACATGCGTACATGAACATAGATATACATTTTACATACACAAATATTTGCATAAAATGCATATATTCATTGTGTATAAATGTACATGCCTACATTGTTTGCACATACATACGTAATTATTATCTATATACATACGTACATATATTTTATACCTACAATATAAGTGTATGTACATGTGTGTGATACTAAAATGTCTGAACATATGCACTAGATAAAATCATATGTACATACATTT